TTTGCATGTTTTCTTCTGTTTCAATGCGTTGAGATCTCTAGACCACCGTATTTTTCTGTATTTCATTATTTAAGCATGCGACATACACTTTTTTTTGTAACATTTTAATTTATTGCTCCATCTTTTTTATTATTCTTGCATTGTGCCTTACTCCACTATTGGTTTATCTTGTCTTTTCCCCATTGTTTTTATTTGTCCTTTTACCTGTCTCACATTCTCTTCCCCTCTCAATAAAATGCTGTACTTTGCATTTGTGTAGTTTTATTCTTGTATTATTCCTTGCACTATATATAAGTATTACATAGGGATAATTTCTGGTTCAGTTTTGGGGACTCTGATATAATAGGCCAGTTACAGCTGTTTTCTGGAGCTTCTGGATAAGTTGTGGCTGAGTTCTGGGGTTCAGTTTGGCTCTTGTCTGCCTGACATAGTTATTTTGTGCCAGTTCTGGATAATATCTGGTACAGTGTAAAGCTTTGGGTGAGTTTTGGTATGCTTCCAGCATTGATCTGTTTGACTTTTGGCAAACAGCACTTGGTCCAAACTTGGACCGTAGTTCCATGTGGTATATGGGTCAAAATCTCGAAATTTAGCCAGATCCGGCCCAAAGCCAATTTGCTATCTGGGTTCAGACTTTATAACATGCAATTACAAGTTTATATCTCACAATTCTGACTTTACAACACAATTACTAGTTTATATCATGAAATTATGAGAAAAAAAGTCAGAATTGAGAGATGTAAACTCGCAATTACAGAATTGTGAAGGTCAGAATCGTGAAATAAAAGTTGCAATTACTTTTTAAAATTTTTATTCAGTGGCAGAAACAAGCTTCCATAATAGTGTCACAGGTAGATAAAACACACACAAGATAAAAATAAATTAAGTTATTTAATAATCCAAGATGCAAAAGTAAGGGAGCAAACACTGCACAACAACATAAGCAATACCAGACAAAGAAACACAGGAAACTGAGGGTTTAAATAGACATAGTGTAACGATGAGGCAAGGACGAAGTGAAGAGACAATCCAATTGCAAGCACATTTTTGTCCGTAGACACTCGGAGGAAGTGACCTGAACAGTCTCTGGATCAGCAGAAGTAACATGAACAGTCTCTGAATTGGCCATCTTGTCCGTAGACACTGGCTCAGAGGAAGTGAATAGACTCTGGCTCGGCCATCTTGTCCGTAGACACTGGCTCTTCAAAAGTTACGTGAAGCGTCTCTGGCTCTGCAAAAGTGACGTGAACAGACTCTAGACTGGCAGACGTAACGTGAACAGACTCTGGATCGGCCATCTTGTCCGTAGACACTGGCTTTATAAAAGTGACGTGAAGCGTCTCTGGCTCGGCAGAAGAGAAATATTCAAATTTATCACACTGTAAAAAAATATTGTTGGTTTTACTTAAAAAATTAAGTAACCTGGTTGCCTTAAAATTTTAAGTTGATTGAACTGGAAAAAGTGAGTTAATACAATGAAGGATATTGATTTAATCATCAGAAACTTAAAATAATAAGTTATCTCAACTGAACAAATTATTTAAGTTGATTTGACAAAATAAAAAATGTTGTGATAAGAAATCTTGAAAATATATTTTTACAGTGCAGCTGTTGTTTTACCTTGTCTTTTTCATTTTAAGCTAAAACTGCTTGTATTCTGATTTTGGTGTAAATGCATAAAGCAAATACAGATAGGTTAAGTAGGCCTAAATACTTGTTCAAAATCAAATGGTGTATCAGTTGTCTGTTCATATAATCATCTCTGGCATTTCAGAACCTCTTAAAGGTGCTAAATGTAACTCCTAAAATTAATCCCTTTTTGTGAAGGGGTTGTAATCACACATTAAAATGATCCACTTGTCGGGTTTTGCTATTACCTCTGAAGGCCAGTATTTCTATTTCTATGTGAAGTCTCCGGGCCTGATTTTCTGCGAAAACCATCGGATGTGACGTGCATGCGCGCTCTTGAGCCTCTCTCCTTTTTATATACAGTCTATGCAATGGCACTGCAGCTGACGACATGGAGTCTGAAAACACCAAAAAACGACCTCCCTCACGCACAACACAGACTCCAAGACAAACTCCACATAAAAACAAAATAAAACAAAACAAAAATGTATCTGCTGAAGCTCGTCAGACCAAACGTGACTTGGAACATGACTCGCGACACGGTCACGCATCAACATCGGCAGAGCGTTTGAATTATGGAGAGACCTCCACTAGTTTTATTGTGATAAATTACAACTTTTCAGAGATGTTAAATAATGGTAAAATGTAATGAAATAGCAAGGTAAACTACAACAAATAGGCTACATGAGACATGAAATGAATACAAAAGACTGTTCCAGAATAACAAAAAGTAGGTGCTTTAGGATGTAACTTTTATTTTATGTACTAGATCTACTGTGTACGTCACTCATCCCACTACCATCATATGGTTCGACTTGTCGAGACTGTTTTCCAAAGATGGCGCCGCCTAAATGACGTTTATCCATATTACTTTAAACTTTTATATTTAAATATGATCAGCTCCTGGCTTATGATAGAAAGCTGGTGTTCAGGAAAGTACTGTAGTGTTTTAGTTTTGGGAGAACATGATTCAAAATGGCCTTAAATATAGCAAAGGAAATAAAGGGTCTGTGTTAATGCTCTTATTCACCTTCTGTTAATGCATTTCAACTATTGGGTTGTAGGTTTGATAGGGATGAGAATAGCAGGAGAAATCAGGGTAACAAGATCAACTTTTCAAAGGGATATGTTTGTTGTTGATCTATACAACCTCTAAAGCATTTGGGAGCAAATTCATTAAGCATTTAAATTAGTCAGATGCTAGCCTTTTGATTGATGTAAACAGTAGCCTATCTTTGTGGTAAACAAAACACTATGTTCTAAAACCTAAACCTCATCCCAGTTGTGAATAAATCCTAATGGAGAAGTTATGCTGCAGGTTGTTTTGCTGTTTCGGGGTCTGATTGGTGTGCAGTAACCGAGAAACCAATTATTATACAAAAAAAAAAAAAATCTGACTACAGATTACCGCGATTGACCTGCTGTGTAATGATTTCGCTAATTACACACAAGTCAAGTCACCTTCATTTATAGAGCTTTTATCAATAGACTCTTTCAAAGCAGCCTTACAGTGATAACAGGAAATTAAAGTAACAGAGATTGTTTTGGCTTTCCAAGCCTTGATACATTTTTTATACCAAATTTTTTTTATTGCTTCCGCGTAGCCATGTGAGCTGGAATTATCCCGACAACGTTTTATCTGTACAGAGGTAAAATCGGTACCGAGGTAAAGGGAAGGGGGCCTTCACAGGAGAGAGAGACTAATTGATACTTCAGGACTGCTTTGTCACCGTGTCCAGGCGAAGGTCCTTCATCACATCCGGATATGGCCTGGATCCGACGAACTGCGGTAAAACTCGGGATAAACAGAGTAATATTGGCGTAAATGCCATCCTTATTTTTAATGATGTAACAAGTACATTAGGATTTACTGTATGGGAAGTGTTCCCGTTTCCAGCTGACCTAATCTATGCAGCCTAACATTGAATTATTGAAGTCTATAGTGTGTTGTGTATGCTAGGCTATGTGTTTTGAGTCTAGATTTGAACTCATAGCGTGTGTCTGCTTCCTGGACAATGTTAGTTATTGTGTTACTATGTTAATATTTCAAAGTTTTGGAGGTAAATAGGAAAAGGATCTACCACCAGCAGTCGATTTTGATATTCTAGGAATTATCAACTGGCCAGATTTTGAGATTGCAATAGACATGACGGACTATAATGTGTTAAGAGCTCAAGTACTCGGGAGATAAACCATTTAGTGCTTTGTAAGTAATCAGCAATATTTTCAAATTTATACGATGTTTAATAGGCAGCCAGTGCAGGGTTGACAGAACCGGGCTGATATGGTCATTGTGGTTCTGGCTCTCCTTAATCACAGTTAAAAAAGGACAACACTTAAGCTGTTTGGGGTCAAATTGACCCCAGACTTTGAGTGATTGCATAAGGAAATAAAAAAAATGTATGGAAAACTATATATATTTTTTTTAAATTTACTTCTCAACTAATCATTTATGCTTGTTTTTTTGTTTTTTTTTTGATTTTTGTAAAGTTTACCGGGTGTACCGGGTTGCTCTGCATCAGGACGTAGACAGCCATACCTCAGCTTTCACGCGTTCCCACTTGAGAATTTTCATTTACCATCCGAACCACATCGTCATATGTGACTTCAGGCAAGTTGCGGAGAGCTGTATCTATCGAACTCCACCATTGTAAAAAAGCTAACCGGAAGAGCCGTATCCCTACTAAAAGACGTACTTCCGGTCTTCAATTTTTTCGGGACATAGGCCTATCCTGCGTCAATAGCAACTCTGTTTTTCATGGCTATGGTGTGTTAAACTTAGCAGAGACCTGTTATCAAGAAATAACAGACCGCAGTCTACATTACAGTAGAATTCAACCAAACCATGGAATAAAATATGCTGGCTAATCTCTTTATTCCCAACTGGTGGTAAATGACTCCTTTTCTCAAGTTTTAGTTCTAGTCATTGCTTTAAAATATAAACAAAGAGGTTAAAAGGTTCTGCTTTTTAGCTACACTCTCTAACAATTCATAGCAAATTAAACAGAAAAATTCACATACAGTTATTGCTAAATAAGGGTGGCTATATAGGGAGGGAGCCACATCATTTGTCCGACACTCCAAATGTGCACACGTCACACTCGGAGCCCGAGAGCTTGCTGTTAGCTTATCACAGGATTACTGCCACCTTTGCCTCTCCGCAAGAGTAATTACCTGTGAAAAACCAATTAAACTTGCATTGTAATAAAGCCAAGATTACAAACGTAATTCATTTTCAATTATGAGGAAGCACCAACAAAATGATTAGCCTACACAAAAACGGCTGACTTCCTCAGTAACGAGGCTCATTTAGGTCACGTCTTGAGTTGCATCAATCATATATCCTGCGTAAATATGCAACAAACAAGCAGTTTTAAGTTAAATTTGCTTTATTGTGCATCATTTTGTCTGTTTCAATAGCCACAATGAATTTTTCTTGTAATTTACATAAAAAACTCTCTGTACATGCGTTGCAACAGGAGAAAATGCTAATCGTTTGAGCTATTACACAATGGCTTATAATCATTTCTAACATTTTAAAAAAAAATCGTATTTGACATGTGCTAGAAAAATAACTCGATGACTCTAGGAGGAGCCATCTTGAAGGGGAATCCCTGATGGGTCCTGGCGGGATGAGCGACGGGCACCTGATGTGGGCACCTCCAGAAGAGCCTGAACAGTCTGAGCGACGCGCGTGAGCCCCTCTTCCTCCAGAATCAACTGCGATGGACACAGTGCGTCCTGGTGGGATTTGATCGAGGGGAGAAGAAAGAATACTAATATAAGTTTGTTTACACAAATGGTTGATAAAATAAGCAATAAAACATCCTGGCATAAACAGACGGCTCAAGGAATAGTGGTTCTTGTATTGCAAGCCCCTAAAAATCTGCTTCTATGAGGAGATGCTTAAGCGTGAAGTGCACTCGGGGTAAACAAGCAAGATCCTTGGCTCATTATGAAAAGCTTTCCATGCACCTATAAGGATGGTGTTGAAATGAAACTCCCATCTGTTATATCAAGAACCCACAACATGCAAGATACAGGATCACACACACACGAAGCACTTATGACACACGGATACAGGAAGGACATGCAATGCATGCAGAACAACACTTGATCACCAAACAATTTCTTTGAATTTGCGACTATATGGCACAGCAGCAAGACCCCGTCTTTCAGAGATGCAGTCATGCAGTTATAGCACTTCACAGACAGGATGCGATTTCAATCCAAGCTGAAGTACGCATAACAAGCCAGCACTTCACCATCTTGGGAATCCATCATGCATTCCAATGATTAAGTTCAGTCAACCCTAACGGTATACATTAAATATAGATTATGAACGGGCTGCATGGGCTTTTATTGCCATATTCAGGCTGTATATCACACATGCAGTAGGCTATACATCAGATTTTGCGTTAAGCTCATTGCTTTAACATAATAAGAACGCATTATGTTTTAAACCTCGATCGTGCCGTTAGGCCATATGGTAGGTTAATTCACTTTCTTGGCTTTTTTTTTTTTTAGAAAAAACAACGACATATGACTTTGTTGAGTTGAAATCACTGTCTTTTAAGAATCCAATAATATTGTTTTTATGACACTTAAACTCGATTTTTTCTCTCCAAGGTTGTTTTTCCTGGGGGTCAACACATGCTCCTCATATTGCCCTATTAAAAACATTTCAGTACATTTCTTCAACATCTGCTGAAGATTTTTGCTGCCTCTCTGGTAAGTTAAATCGATCTTGTTGCTTTCAGATTCTCACGTTTTTTTTTGTCTAATATAGTTAACAATAAACTGAGAAAGTATGAACGCATATGGCAAATGGCAGTGATGCATTTCCTTATTGTTAGTGGCATCAATTACTGCAATTAATTATTTATTTGGAGGTGTTTATTGTAATTAGAATTATGCAGATCCCAATTATGATTAATGTTTCATGTGTTCAGGGAAAAAAAATAAATCTCAGAGTAATATTCTAGAAATGTCACAAAGAACAGAATAAAAAAATAGTTTAAAGAAGGTCTAAATGCATATCCAAATTCAAGCTCATCACACTTAATTATAAGGAAACTTGAGTAGAATCCTGAAATTAAAATAGATTTTCTTTAATGGTACAGAGTTGCCAAAAGAAATATATTATTTGGAAGAATCTCTTAACAATTTGGCAATTCCTATGTGTGAAAAAAAAAAGAAAAAAGTTCCATCATTAGAAGACAATGCCACACCGTAGAGGGTTAACTGAACTGTTCTCACCCGTAAACACACAGTACTTTACAATGTCAAAGTGAAAAACGAGCTGGCCAGTTAATTAATGAATAATTAAAATTAATAAACAGAAAACAAATGAGCGCATAAGTATTCACCCCTCCTGCTTTGACACACTTTAATGAGTTCAGAAGCAAGCAAAATAATTGCTTGATTAAAGTACACCCGTACACAGATGAGGTGTTCCACATGACACCTGCGTCTATTAGTGTATTTACACTGAAACACTGGTGGAGTGTGGTTGGAAGAAAGACTCTGATGATTTAAAAACGCTGCTTGCTCAGGGCAATGACATTCGTCTTGATTAAAAGTCTGAATGCTATGGAGCAGCTGTATTTGAGAGACCCTAAAGATTTGAAGTCTAAAGTTTGATGAATCCGAAACTGTTTGGTCTAAATGCCAAGCACTGTGAAAAGAAGAATGAGCAAAAATGCCATTCTCACTTTGTACAAAAAGCTAAGCTTTAAAAGAACTTGTATGGTAAAGTGTGAATTCTTGCGCTCAGTTATTTTCTTGGTTTAATTGGTTTGTTCTGGGTGTTGTAAAGTTGTTTGTGCAGATGAGTGGCTCCAAATAATGCAATACATCAAAATCTCTTAGAGTACATCTTACAGTTTATGAACATATACTGTATACTGTACACTACCATAAAAGTTTGGGGTCAGTAAGTTTTTCTTGGATGAAATTGATTAAAAGTGACAGTGAAGACATTAATAATGTTACAAAAGAGTTTATTTCAACACTGTAAATAAATATTTTCAAGATTTGTTATCACGACATATTTTCTTTTGTCAAATCAACTTTATAATAATTTATTTAGTTGAGATAACTTATTATTTTGAGTTTCTGATGATTAAATTAATCTCCTTCATTGTATTAACTCACTTTTTCCAGTTCAACTTAACATTTTAAGGCAACCCAGGTTACTTACTTTTTTAAGTTAAACCAACAATATTTTTTTAAGTGTAGTAATCACATTTTTTTCTTTTGTCAAATCAACTTTAGTTCAGATAACATATAATTTTGAGTTTCTGATGATTAAATCACTCTCCTTCATTGTATTAACTCACTTTTTCCAGTTCAATGAACTTAAAATTTTAAGGCAACCAGGTTACTTACTTTTTAAGTTAAACCATCAGTATGTTTTTACAGTGAAATTAAATGTATATTTATCAAATAATGAAAAGAAAAATGCATTACGGTTTCCACAAAAATATTAAACAGCACAATTGTTTTTCACATTGATAACGAAATGTGTTTTAAAGCACCAAATCACATGAAAGATCATGTGTCTGATGCAATTACCACAGTGCAAAGACAATACTTTTTGCTGCTATTTAGTGCAAATAGCAGTAAATGCTATCTAGAGTTGTTTTTACTGTATGTTTTTATCAAATACTGTAAATGCAGACTTGAGCATAAGAGACTTTCAAAAACATTTTTAAAAAACCTTACCAACCCCAAACTTATGAACTAGTGTATACTTTATTTATAATATGAAAAAGACACAGTGGGGTCCAAAAATCTGAGAAAGGCATTTTTAATTATAAATTATAATATACTACCCACTGTGTAGTAGTGTGTACTTTTACTTTGTGTAGCTATACTTACCTTTTCTCTACTTTCTACTACCCACACAATGGATCAACACTTACCTTTTAGCAAAGGGCACAGTATATCTGGACTCATAAGCTACAGAGACGAGCTGACGTGAGGATTTCATCCTCAGCACAGAGACAAAGAACCAAAGCAGAATTAATCATGAGCGAGAGTCATGAACATTTGACAAAAGCACACGTAAAGCAGCAGACCACACGTAAAAAATCAGTTTCCTTTTTTTAATAATTTCTTTACAGACAAAAAAAAATTCTTTATATCAATATAAACTTAACTTCTTAAATACACAGTATTTTATAAATATAACAAAATACATTTCGTGTGTTGCAACAGTTTAAACTAGGTAACATTTGGACGGAAACATTCGTGTAGATCTAGTGCCCTCTAAACTGTCTGAGTACGTGTGTGTATAATTATCAGTCTTCTGTAAAAGCCTTCAACATGAACAGTAACATTTCACAATCCTCATTTCATTTGGCTGTAGCCTCTAGACTAGAGCAACTGTGATGAAGTCCATCTATGTGAAATGTGTCTGAGTTCATTTTCAAAATGGATTCATTTTAAATTAAATGTCTATTATGATTAGCTTTAGCGTTGATAACAATGAATAATGTTCTAAAACCCTATCAACATCCCTTAAAATATGTTTAAGACATCGTAGGATGAGAAATGCACGTTGGTAACTAATTACACAGCACATATCCCTTCACCTACCCATGTTTCCCAGTCTCTCTCTCTCTCTCTCCTTATCGTTCACAGCAGATGAGAGGCTTCTCGTTAGTAAACTGTCAGCAAAGCTCCTAAATCACATTAAGTAGGCACGGAGTACAAAAGCAACATCAGCATACAGCACCGCGGAAGATAGGTTCTCATGGCACATTACAGGACTACAAAAACACTATATGGCCACATTTAGAACCAGCAAACGGCAGCTGAAGAGGCTTGAGGAGAAGCAGGACTCGCAACTATTTCATCATCAATTAAAAAAAAAATGGTTTAATTTGGTAATGTCTGCTTAACCGCGTCCACAAGCAGTATCTAATATACACATTTAAAAGACGCTATTAATGTCCCCTACTGTTTTTTTCCCCTCCCCAGCTCATAAAAGCAATCATAAGCATATTACTCAATTAATCTGTTCAATTTAATTAGTCAAATGTAATGTGCTCAGCGAGACTGGGGTTTCCACCAAATGCAGCTTCATCAGAACGGAGAAAAAACATAAATAAACCGAAACAATAACTTATTGTGAACAGTTTTGATACAGGAATTATATTAAGATGCTCTCAAGAAACCAAAACATGAATTAAAAAAAAAAACAAAAACAAACGGTTAACACAGCTTTGAATCATATTAGTACCGTCAAAACGTGTTAAAGGAACAGTTTAGGAAACACCACTGCCCTCTGGTGGTCACAGTCGAAAAGATATGAGCGAAAGAAAAGGAAAGTGAAATAGTCCACGCAGTCCCAGCCTTAACAGGTATCTACAACGTGTGAATTAAACCAAATTCAGCTGAGAAGTACCATAGCCACACTGTTAACAGATTTACCAGATGCTACAAACTAATTTGCACTGCTGTGTGAGCAGAAAGAAACCACAAGCTTCTGAGGCACTTTTAAGAGGAAAAATAAGAGGGGGGATGGGGAGTGTGTGCCAGTGCTTTAAAACTCTGAGGATATCCCTTACAAAGACAGTCATTCCCTCTAGAATGTGTATAAACTATCCTGGGATCAACTGCAACGCTAAGGCAATCAGGTGGAAACAGCCCTTCACGAGTGGAAACCTTGTCTATGTACAAATAAAGTCTGCATCCTCTACAGAAAAAGTTGATTATAACTTTCTTGATGTGGGAAAATGTGGATATCCGATTTAGACCTCTGATAATTTGCGATATATTTCAGTATTTCACCATTTATAGCGCTTCTCGTATATGTTTCCAAACCTGAATATCTGTGAGGAGCTTTAACGTGTAAGCTGAAAGGCATTATGTGTAGAGAGTTATATATGTGCAGGTCTTGTCAACAATGCGTGTACACAGTACAGAAATGATGTATCCGTTACATTTACACATTGACGCTCGCTGGCACTATGCTATAAGCTGGCAGTATAACAGGTAGAGCAAAGCCATGAGGAGAGAGTAGAAGAGCAGGAAGCCGCTGGAAAAAGGGGAGGAAGGAGAGACGGAGGGAGAGGTGACGTTCTTGTCCTCGTTCACCTCCTCCTCTATTGCCAGGAGCGCCGTCGCACAGCGATGCACTGCAGGTATCTTACTGCACAGGACATCAGACGCTAAACACAACTCCATCTGAGAAACAGAGACAGACAAAGGAAAGGAAGAACAATGCAAAGAGGACAAACAAAGATGAATGGACACAGCATTGAACACACACACATGAAAGCAGGGTCATTTAAAGGGATAGTTCACTCAAAACTGAAAACTCTGTCATCATTTACTCACCTTGTTTTTTTTTTTTTTTAAACGTACATGACTTTCTTTCTTCCGTGGAACACTAAATGAGATGTTTATAGAAGTAGTGTACATACAATGTCTAAGGCTGAACGATATTTTGTTTTTCTGCGCTACATTTTTTGAAAAATGCAGGAAGTCTCAATAGATTAATTTAAATAGCTATGCTTGGAAAGAATAAATCTTTCTAGGATGATTGGGGTGATTGTTGGAAAGTGCAGCTGCATAGAATATAGAAATAATAAAACAAAAAAAGTTCATTTTAAATGTTAATTTTTTTAACATCCTTTTAGGGCTTGAAAGATTTGGGTATCAACATGACATCAAGACATTTGTGTAAACATACATGTCAATATGCATTATCAATATGCATTTTCAGCTATCCGCGTGTGTCTACACCGTTAAATGTCCAAGTGATTCCACGTGTATGTAAACGCCGTTAAATGTCCGATCGAAACGAAGCAAAATGTAGATCTACATCTGGGGAGCGATATTTTTTTCCTAGGATGGTAGGGGAAGACTCATAAATGCTATTAACCGGGTAGGTTTAGGGACGGGGTTGGTGTAGCTCATATATTTATATATACAGTAATGTAACGTTAAGTCAACAGCGTTCATAAACACGCTGAAAAGCGATTATGCGTGATGATAGCACGCCAAAAATGGAAATACGAATTGGCGTGTCATTTCATGAGATCAGTCTGTGAGTATAATCTTTACAAGAACAAACTTAAATCTCTTTCAGTATACAAAAAATAATTACACTTTAATAATTATTATTACATAATAGTAAAAAAAATAACTAAAATAAATAGTAATAGTATTCAAAAATAAACATAATTACAAAATGATTACAATACAAATATTATGTTGACATAAAATCTAAATTGACCCTATTAATTTGTTAACGCATAGTTAACAGCATACTAGTCTTGTGGCAAACAATTAATCCGTGCAAGTTAATAATACACTGAAAAAATGTGTTTCTTTTTAAAATGGTAATCTTTAATCAAAATCTGAACATTTGCTTCTGCTCTGGAATGGCATTCCCTCTCTGATGATTTCAGTTTGATGGCTTGGGTAGAAAATGCTTAACCAGGAGCGCTTTACCTTTAACGGTGAAAGAGTGAGTGGAGAGATAAGTAGCTAAACATTTAATATTTGAAAAGTGTTTTACAATAGAAATGTTCAACAACAGACATTAATATTATTTCTGAACTGAAAATATGCGATCATTTGCATGATTCATATAATTCATAACTGAATGTGAAGAGACAAGAACCGTTTTGCATTTTTGACATATTAGACATGTGAATAAGATTAATAAATTGTGTGCATATTTTAAAATAATGCAACTATTTTTAACCTTCAAATGGTCTTCGTTTCCTGTTTACACTTCTGGGCTTCGGGGTCTATACGACCCCAACAATTGATTGAGTAATTGTACAAAAAAATGTTCATTTTTAATCATACAAATAATATACCATTTTTCTGTTTACTTCTCATCTATTCATTAATGCTGTGTTTTTGGAGATAAAGTACACAATTCCTCAACTACACCATTAGCTTGCATATGAATTTTTTATTATTTTTTTATGATACATTGCATTTATGCTCTAGTATTAGGCCTTCATTTCCGTTTAAAAAAAAAATGTTTGTAAAGATTTATGCCAGATTTTTATTTAATTTTTTTTGACACATGAAGAAAATATATTTCGTTTTTTTTTTCACATTTCCCATTCATTTCAATGTGGGGTCATATTGACCCCGAAGACCAGAAGTGTAAACATTTTTTTTTTACATTCCTTCAGAACAACCAAATCAAGCCCAGTTTTTGTGTGTGTGTGTGTGTGTATAGATAGATAATGAATGAAAAGACAAAATCTTATGCCACTGAGATGAAGGGAACCTTTTTTTTATTAAGTAAAAGTTGATTGGGGTCGTACAGACCCCATGACCCGATTGAGGGCTACTTTATTGATTCATAACAACAAACAGACCTAGAACTTATTTTACTATTTTTTTCCATTCCCTTTTAATCCTTTAGTTATTTGATTAATTTAAAGGTGCAGTCGGTAACTTTTGTCGCTCTAGCGGTTAATAAACAGAACTGTATGCGTCTTGCAGAAGAACACTGTAGCCGGAGCTACTTCTCTCGGTTTATGTCTATGACGAGTCACGCAGGCATTGGTACGACCCATACCAGTCTAAAATTGTCCGAAAATAAACACTTATTATAGGTGTACTGTAGTGATTCAGGGTAAGACAAAAACAATGTTTAGAAAATGGATTCAGGATGTACTCGCTCATTAAATTGTTACGGCCTGAGCCTTATGTTTATTTGTGTGTGCTTGTATTTCTCTGGTTGATCTGGTTCTCTCTCACTTTTGGACTAGGCTCCACCCTTGCGCACCTGCAGCCTATTCAGGCATGTTCTGGGCTGGAAACGTAATGAGAGAGCGGGGAGAGAAGGGCACGGAGGTTGACCTACTACGATTTGTTTCTAGCGGCTTGAGCGCTTCGATCACAGTTTCAGCTCTGTCAAGAGCGTGGCGTGCACCGAAAGAGAAGGGCTTGAGTGGAGTGTCAAAAGAGCCCTGTGTGCTGTGTGATGATGTTTCCATTATGTTGTGTCATTATGTTGCTTACCCCCTTCATTATCGAGTATTTTTAATAGTGGGGTTCTTAAAATAAATTTCGTACATTTTGAACTCAAAATCCAGACTGATCTCATGAAGTAGCGTGTGTATGACACGCCAATTCGTATTTCCGTTTTTGCCGTGCTATCAACATGCATAATCGCTTTTCAGCGTGTTTATGAACGTCGTTGACTTAACGTTACATTACTGTATATATAAATATATGACTTACCTCACCCCCGTCCCTAAACCTACCCGTCACTGGGGTTAATGGCATTTATGAGTTTTCCCCTACCATCCTATGAAAAAAAAAAAAATTGCTTCCCAGATGTAGATCTATGCTTTGCTTCGTTTCATGCGGACATTTGACGGCGTGTACAGACACACGGAATCACTCGGACGTTAACGGCGTAGACATACACGCATACACGCGGATAGCTCAAAATGCGTAGAGATAACACACCACTTGACTCGAAACGCAAAAGTCATGATGTCATATAGCAAAATCAGCAGCTTGAAATAATAAGCCAAAAAAAACTTTGGTCCCCCAATGTTCAAGAAATGGTTAAGGACTACTTTTATGATGATTTTTATGGCTTTAAGGTGCTTTTATTGTCCTTTTTGTATTTTGACAGCACAATCCCCATTCACTTTCACTGCATTACACGACAGCAGCTAAGACATTCTGCTAAACATCTCCTTTGGAGTTCCACGGATGAAAGGCATTTGGCTTTAGAGCATCATGAACTACCTGAGGTGACTACCCCTTTAAGAAAAAAAAAAAAAAAGCACAAAAAAGTAGCAAATCGAGCTTGAAGCACTTGAAAAACAACATAAAAAGCATTACCAGTCACATGTCAGTGGGCGAAGTGGATTTGTCTCGTTTACAAACAGCTCACACAATATGTCTCAGGAAGACAAATAATATGGAGGATGATAAAAGCAGCAAACAATAAAAAAAGTAATTTATGTTTACCTCAGGGACTCCCAGCCTACGACATGCAGCAATGAAGTTTTCGACATTGAGGCGGCACTTGGCAGCACTCAGCTTTGGCTGAACAGACAGAAAGATTGCACAGATATTCATTAGAAAGCAAATTAAAAACTGGGATCAGCTTCTTCCAGATAAGGACCACACATAAAAAGGTGGATCTCATAAGTGTTTGTTTTTTTTGAGATACTAGATTATTTTTTGTCCATAATGAGAATAAGATTCGAGCATTAGCTCACCACTGCCGGAGAGGGGATGTGGATGATTGACACGGAACGAGGTCGCACGTGATTGGCCAACTGGCAGAGAACTGTGCCATTGGACAACGCCTCTCCCAGATCATCAGGCAGAGAGATCTTGAGACGTGACTCCAAACACTGGAAGAGAAACATGGAAAGAGTGATACTACTGGGAAGATGCATCAAAAATGCTTCTTAAACTACGCAATCAGATTAAAAAATATAAAAAATAAAGACAAAGACCAAGGTAAACAAGCGGTAAAAACTAAGATAATAGTAACAAAAATGGGGTAAGGCATCTCAGAAGAGCTCGAGATGGAGAGATGAATAATACAGGATGGCTCTTTACTTTGCGCAGTTGCATGATGTCTGTTCTGTCCTCTCGTGGGGATCTGAGTGTGGAGCGTGATTCGCTGCGGCCAGACTCCGCCAAACTGTTTCCTGATCCTGAGAAGAGAGCAATAGGGTACAACATATATTACTAACCAAATCAAGATTATAGGTCCTACAATCCTATATTAACTCCTCTGTGTGTGTGTGTGTACCAGTCTTGACGTTGCAGCGTGAAGACGTGCGGAATAAGAAGCTGTTGGGTTTGGGAGCAGAACCTGTAGGAGAACAGGGCTTTACGGAGGGCGCATCTGAAATATGTCACAAACAAGGTTCATTAAATACTTAAAATTACAGCATCAGCAGAACAAGCAACATTAATTAAACAAAACTGTAATCAATACATTGTTTCTATATTACATTGCTCTCAAGGAAACCAAAGCAAACATTCAACAGAAAATATTAACATTGGCCAATCAGATTAAAAAATGGCCAGAAATGACTCCCACATTGGCCAGTTTTAAGAAGTTGTTAAAAACACATCTTTTTAAAATTGCTTATACAGACTTATGATTAGTATCCTAATGCTGTGTACTGTAATAATTATTTTGTATTACTTTTGTACTTGTATTTTACGTGTGTTTTATTGTTTGTAGAGCTTTGGGTTTTAGAAAAGCGCATTATAAAATAAAATGTATTATTATTATTATTATTATTATTAAAAAAGAAAAACTGTCAAAAAGCGTCAAAGCACTTTTGTAACAGCACTGCCCTCTGGTGGTCACACTGCCTTCATTTCTAAAGAATTTCTATGGGTAATTGTAAGAAACTCTTTCGTTTGAATGGCTGCATGTCGATTGTCTGTCACAGACAGACCATTTTTTTTTTGCCGGAGAAATTCAGGCACTTCTATAGCAATCAACATGATTGGGAATTTCACATAAGGGTAGAGGATTTCACCATGCAGAATCTGCAAAGTGTTTAAGTTGGTCATGTGGATTGGCAGCATTGAGCAACCGAATGCAGCTTAGTTTGAAAGTCACTTCTGTTTGAGCAATGCTTTGCACATCACTGCACTATTGCCAATACTTTTCCCCAGCTAATATGACCACCCCTAATATATATCAACTTTTTTGATAGTTTGTGTGATATCCATGTGATAAAGTGATGAAGGAACTTTTGCCTATTGTTTAAAATTAGCATAGCAAACACAACTAGCCTAACTAATAAAAATTTCAAGCATTATTAAAGACAAGTAAATAATAAAAAATGATAAATCGCATTACATACAAATACAACTGAACAAAGATATGTTTGTTAATAAACAGTGTTTTAAGATATGCAGGTATCCAGGTCCACACACTAATCAAATGTAAAATAAAATTTCACTTAATAAATACAACATATATTACAAATTAAATAAAAGGTTGATTTTTTTGTCAAAAATGAAGTGAATTTCCTCTTTGTCTTTTGTTTGATTAAGTGTAAAAATAGAGACAGCAGCAGCAGTATTAAGCTGCTGTCACTTTAAGAGCTGCACAATATACTGTTAAGGCCAATTTATACTTCTGCGTAGGGTGCGCGAAGTAGGTATGGCGAAGCATACGCAGAGACGCGTCCCATACCGCGTACCCTTCGCCGCAGCCTGACGCGCACCTCCTCAAAAATGTAACTACACGTCGCGATGACGCGGACCGCAAGATCTGTGATTGGTCGGCTTGGTAGCATCGCATTTCCTCCTACACATTTCCGCACGCACCATCTCCTCCGGCGTCTTCTCTCATTTCTGCCTTTCAGTTTTAGTAATTTCACTAAAATGAACTGTTTTTCCACCTCAATAAGCTCCAACTCCAACATGATCCGCTCTCTTTCAGGCTTGTAGTAACCTAGCCGCAACTCGAGGAATCTAAACAGTGGAACATTAAAACCCTCCGTCGCCAACTAGCGTTTCGGAGCAGTACTGCAGAGCAACCAAGACCTGAACGCAGAAGTATAAATGCTCGCGTCGCCTACGTGCGTAGCCGACGCCGTACACTGCGTCCCCTTGACGCAGAAGTATAACTTGGCCTTTACTCCTATAAGAAGAATCAAAAACTGTATTTTATAACAAGTATTCGATTCCAGAATTGGAATCAACTTTCAATTTCTAACTCTACTCTTTTTTTCAAAGTGTCTGAAATGGTTTAATAAAGTATTCGGTCTCTCTAAACCCCTCCTTTCCGGGAGCCTCGTCTGCTGATTGGTCAGATCATGGACCAGTCTGTTGTGATTGGTCTACCGGTTACAGCGTGTCAGAATTTCAGCTCCAAAGGCTTCCTCAGATTTTCAGAACACAAAGATACGAACAGTAACAATTATCGACGTCGTTCACGGGCAGCCAATTAAGACCATAGTCTGGCATTATGCAAATTTGTATTAAACCTATGTAGGTTCATGCAGGAAGTAAGGGTGGAATTACTGATGACTCAATTCTTTGGGGGACAACTTCATTTATCATGCACTTAGATCTCTGAAACCCTGCAGACCTTTTACATTCACAAACAGCTATATAAACTTACCAACGAAAAAGGTCGACTTTATGGGGTCTTAAAAAAATGAAGATAGATCTTAAATGCCATTTTCCTTTAAAAGCAGCTGAAATATCGAGCATGAAAGGTACCTGTGCGACTGATGGAGCGCTGCAATGACCCTGTGTGAGAGGACTGAGAAATCTGATCTGCACTCTGAGAGAAAGAGAGAGAGAAAAGTCTTAAACACACATTAAGGATAATATTATGCATTTATGACAGAATGAGGTGGAGGGAGAGTGTAAAAGTGAAGGACTCACTGCACATCTCTGTTTCGGGCCGTTGGGTGGAGAGCTGCTATCTGAATCACCACTAGAGGGACACAGAGATCAAATCACAAACCGACAAAAACATACATTGACTGCTTTGTGAACTTTACTAACTAGCCAACTTCAGAGTGAGCTAGCAAAACAACAACCACATCATTAATGTTTTATGACAACAGGCTATTTGACCTGACTGTTATTTACGCCGCCACAGCTAGTAATCTGGTCTCAAATTCAGATTTGTGCCTTCTCTTTGTTAAAGAGATACAGAATTCCACAACAAAACAAAAACACATAAACGCATATGCGGACCATTCACTCCACTCTTACCCTGAAATGCTTCCTGTTCCTCCGTGCTTTGTCGTCGTCGCCAAGTTACTTCCTGTTTTTACAATAATCTTCTGCAAACTGTGAGACAACAAACGCTTATTAGTCAATAGCCTCCTAATACAAAAGCACACAGGACTTGTTCATAAAAAAAGAGCATTCTGGGAGAGCCCTGATGTTTTTCTTCTGACTGTGTTTTACTATAATTCATTCTTTAAGACACAAATGAAGTAAAGACACATGACAGCTGGTAACAGTGATTTCCTTGACGTAGCATCAGCAAATAAATAATAGAGGCCATTTTAAATCCGCTATGTGCTTTTGAAGACGTTCTTGCTGTGCATTAGCAAACAGGATTGTTCATTCTATCGCCTCTTAGGCCAAACAGCCTTTTCGCCATATCACCCATTCACTTGTGTTTCACTTCCACATTTCCTGGATTCATTCAATCCCATCATTCACTCACGTGCTGGCTTTGTCTCTCTGTTGCTGGGCTCTTTCTCTTTCCTGCCAGATAAGCAAGTTTCCAGGCCTCCTCCTCTCCTCTAGAGTGGGACTGGATGGTGAGCCGGAGTCTGAACCATCTCCAATCACAAATATCCTGAAAGGAAGTAAAAGGGAGATTTATGTTTAAGCCTTCACCAAAAAGTCACTACTGAATATACAAATCCATTCTACAAGGGTGTTGTAGGTGGTTGCTAAAGTTTTTGTGTGGTTTTTAGTCTTTGCTACGCAGTTTCGCGGGTGATTACTTACTGGCTCGAGTCAAAAGAGTCTAGTATTTTCTGGTCACTAAATATGGCAATTTAAGTCTAAGGGATTTTTAGTCCAATTTAATCACCCACCAGGTGAAAATCATACGTCTGATTGCTTAGGGACGTAATAACACATCTTTCCAAAACAAACCACATGATTTTAGCTATCGCTTATGGTTAGGAGTTAGGAGCAATAATAGTAAGTCATGTTTGCTGAATGGCTGCAATACTCTACACAACTTTGGATTGGATTTAAAAACTAAACGATAGAGAATCTCACACTATCAGACTGTTATGTATTTCCAAACATAACAAACTCACGCAGAAACATGTGTTTTGTTGCTTGAAGATATCAGATGAAAACAGATATGTGTTTTAAATATAAATGTGTTCGGAATATATATATATATATATATATATATATATATATATATATATATATATATTAGGGCTGTGCAAAAATTTACATAATATATTAGTGTGTGCTGTATATAATTATTTTGTATATATAAATACCTATGCATGCATGTATATATTTAAGAATTATTTGTGCTTAAATTCTGTATATATATATATATATATATATAATACATCATCTATATTATATAAATATAAATATTTTATATATGAATAACCCATTTTCTTAAATATATACATGCATGTGTGTGTATTTATATACACAAAATAATTATATACAGCACACACAAATATATTATGTAAACACAGACTTTTATTTTGGATGCCATTAATCGCAATTAATTTTTGCACAGCCCTAATATATATATATATATATATATATATGAAGAGTTCAGATGCAAAAGCCTCTAAGTGCCATTTGAAATTTTCTTCTAGAATGATCATTTTTATCAAGCTTGTATATTTAAGTTCAGTGATTTCACTTAAATGGCAATGATAGTTACCCATTAATTGTTATTTAAGTGAAATTACTGAACTTAAATATACAAGTTTGATAAAAATCATTAAAGAAGAAAATTTCAAATGGCATTTAGAGGCTTTTGCATCTGAACTCTTCATATATATATATATATATATATACACACACACACACAAACCATCGCACACTGCAATTTTTCTGTGAAATCTGTCGACTCTTCAGACTGGCTTTGACTTTCGGCAACTAGCATTGACTCCTCCAGATTGCAAATCTGGGCAAAAGTCATGGAGTGTATTCCAGCCTTTAGCAAACTGCACTAATTATATCTACAAACTCAAAGAGCAGGAGGAAAAACGTAGGACTACATGATACTGGGGGAAAAAAAGAACTGACTGCATTATATATTGCAATACTCTTATTCTTTTTTTTTTTTTTTTTTTTTTTTTACACTTTTTAACAGAATTATTGAATATCTGTATTTGGGAAGAATTAAATATTCTAAAATGATTGGGATGATTTTGTAGGGGATTTTTGCACAGATATTACAAATTACTTTTTTTCTCAGAATTTTTGTGCATAGGATTAACATGACACCTTCATAATCATGACATGACATATGTTATGAATATGAAGGGAGTTTTATGCATGTTTGTGACAACTGTCATTAAGTGTGATTCAATCAGTTTATGACATTTTTAATGCAGATATGACATTGTTTGAGATGTCTTTGTTATGACACCTTGACATAAACCAATACATCATAACCTGCAGAGTCTTTGTCATGACAACTTGACATTACTAAGACAACACAACCTGTCATAAACATGATATAGCAGATTAATTATCAAACTTAGCAACCACTTAGCTTTATTGGTTAACATTACATTAAACTGTCAGGTGGTTGATGCCATTATAACTTTTTAATGACAAATTAAGTTAGTACCATTGTAGTTGAGGTCATGAAAAATATTCATGACAGTTTTAATGGCCTATGTCAAGAAGTCATGACAAAGACACTGACAAACGATGTCATATTTGCATTCAAAATGTCATTATTGAGCCAATGACACTTAATGACAGTTGTCATAAACATGTATAAACCCTATTTCATATTCAAGACATACATCATGTCATAGTTATGAAGGTGTCATGTCAGTCTTATCCACACCCCTTCAAGTAAAGTGTTACCGAATTTTCTTAAGAGCAAATCATAATTTTAGGGCTGAACAATTCGAGTAAAAACTTGTGGTTTTAACACTTGGTTAAAATCTTTACACGAACAAAATCAAACCTCTTTCAGTAACCATAAAGTGACAAGAAAAATAAAAACCAGCAACATTTCAATTTGATTATAAAGTAACAAATACTTTCTATTATGATTATTTAATAGAAGTATTAAACCATTAATATATTGTAACAATGATAATACTGCACTGTATATAATGAAATATTTAATATTTATAATTTTATTTGTAGTACAATTGTAAATTTAGTCATTTTCCAATGTTAATACCCCCAACTTTTACTATGGTAAACAACAGCAGGGAGATTTTAAACCTTTTCCTTTGTTGACAGCAGGTTTGCAAACAATTCTCATTAGAAATGATGTGAAACGGATGACACTGCACACATAACACTCCCAAAATGCATGTTACAAGTTTGAGTGGAGCAGCATTTACTTTGAATCAAGCCACTGCAAGTATCTGAAACACTGGATATATCCCACATAGATGGAATAATGAACAGAAGAATATCGTTTTTAGATTTGATTTTTACTTTGTACTCTTTGTACCATCTTTAATTTGTCTGCTGTTATAACACTGAATAAAGCAGACCAGTTTACTGAGTAACTATGACAGTAAGATACCCAGTTATACTGAAACTGTGGGAGGAAATTCACTGTTGACTTTTCCCAGCACTCCCTCACGGATTGACCTTGCGTAATCATAGGGATCCAGCAGACTTTAATTAAGAGACTGTGTTTCACAGCAACTATCTGAACATGTATTATAATCCATTAAAGGACGTCACTGTGGCCTTCAAATCACACTGTCAGCTTCTTTTTTATACCTCTGCATTTTGATCTTCACAATGATGTTTTGAAACACCTTGGAAAACCACACTCTAAGAAGAGCGACTGGAAATTTTCCGGCCTGCTGCCATGAGACAGTCCAATGTCTTCCTTTCCTCCATTTATCATGCCTGCCCGCACGTTACATAGCACGAGTACAGATCCTTGCCAGCTGTATTCAAATGCAGTCAAATTTGTGCACTCTTTGTGACTCCCTAGCACTCTCAGTTTATTTTGCATTGTCTATATTGAATGCAGTATGTCTACATGACTGACGTTTCTCCATAGCCAACACTGAGGGCAGATCTATGACGAAAAATTTCACTCTGTTCCTTGGAAAGAAAATATTCCATCTGCCTGACAGATTGCTAAACTATCTGATGCAGATCAAGCCGAAACTATTTGAAACGTTTGAAAAATAAACGTGTCTAGCAAGAAACTGTGTAAGATAACTTAAAACCACACTTGAGCTCAGATCAGTATCTTGTGACTGTAGGTCTAATATCGGTCACCCAATAGGCTGGTCAGATAAGCCAGCGAGCGTTTACATCGAAATACACTAGCGTGGTTATTTTGACATGGCTTAAATGCAAACAAATTCCTATTTCTGACAGCTCTGTGGGGCCCTTCTTTATGTGAGGACCTTTCAAAGACATTTTACATTTTAATAATAACAGGTTTTGTCCGCGATGTATGTATTTTGAATGTGCAAACAGCATAAGCCCTTACCTGCTGCCTGTAGAATCAGGGCTCTGGGAGGAAGTGCTGCTGGAACTTTCACTATTTTCCTGTCATGGAGAGAGGGGACATTATTTTTACATAATTATATCTTATGACTTCTACATTAAAGTTCAAAAGGGTCAGAAAGATTTTTTAATTCATACTTTTATTCAGCAAGGATGCATTCCATTGATCAAATGTGACAGTATAGACATTTACAATTATAAATCATTTATATTTCATATAAATGCTGTTAAATCCAAATCAGAATGATTTCTGAAATATAAAACAGTCATTTTAAATATGACTGTTTTTACTATATTTTTGATCATATAACTGCAGCCTTGGTAATAAGCATAAGAGACTTCTTTCAAAAACATAAAAAAAATCTTTCCGACCCCAAACTTTCAAACGGTAGTACATATGTCTGAAAATATATTGAAAATGTAGGAAGTGTTAGTTAACTTAAAGGTGCACCAAGTTATTTTTCCCCACGTAAAAGTTAACTCTAGGGTAACGCTTCCTTTTACAGTCCTGTTACACATGTACATACTATGTACTTATTGTAGTATTTACAATTACTGGCTAATAACTAGGTTGAACCTAGCCCTAAACCATGTACTTACCTTATATTAGCCAGTACTTTCTAGGTAAGTACACTGTACTAACCCTGAACCTACCCCTAAACCATGTACTTACCTTATATTAGCCAGTACTTTCTAGGTAAGTACACTGTACTAACCCTGAACCTACCCCTAAACCATGTACTTACCTTATATTAGCCAGTACTTTCTAGGTAAGTACACTGTACTAACCCTGAACCTACCCCTAAACCATGTACTTACCTTATATTAGCCAGTACTTTCTAGGCAAGTACACTGTACTAACCCTGAACCTACCCCTAAACCACGTACTTACCTTGTATTAGCCAGTACTTTCTAGGCAAGTACACTGTACTAACCCTGAACCTACCCCTAAACCATGTACTTGCCTTATATAAGCCAGTACTTTCTAGGCAAGTACACTGTACTAACCCTGAACCTACCCCTAAACCATGTACTTACCTTGTATTAGCCAATACTTTCTAGGCAAGTACACTGTACTAACCATGAACCTACCCCTAAACCATGTACTTACCTTATATTAGCCAGTATTTTCTAGGTAAGTACACTGTAAGTACTGTACTGTAAAAGGAGGCGGTACCAAGTTGTCACCCTAAAGAATAGTGTAGTAGACAGCACAATGGCAGCCATGTTGAGATCACATAAATAGCTGAATATTTCTCACTTCATCAGTTACTAATCACAGATAACAAATATGCTTGCAAATGTGGTATTTCTACAACAGATTCAAATATAACCTGACTGTATTGTTTATATTTAGCCTGAACTAAAGCAAAAAGTAATCTAAAAATATCTCTGTAGTTTTGCATATGTAAATGGGTATAATCGTGTCAACATTACCATAGCAACAAGAACCTATTAGCATTGCTGTCAGATTGAAAGATTCCTGCAACTTTCATTTCCTCAGAAACTGATTTGAATTGCTTCTCATTGCTTCTTACTTTTTGTCCATCCAGTCTCTCAACAACCTTTTAATCCTTTAAAATGACAAGACAACCTGTTTTTCACGGCCACACCATGTTTTTATTGCTGTTACTGAGGTGGTTTTTGTTCTGATTGGTCAAAGTCGAAATATTAAACCGAAGAGATTATAAGTCTGCATGCAAATCTAGCTACTGATATCAGTAATAGACTACTAACAAACTATTGTTTGTTGCCAATAGTTGTCAATATAGATCTTCAAATTCCAAGACCAGCGCATCATAGAGTCCCATCTGGTCCAAAAACAAAAAGTACCGAGTGCACCTTTAATGTTCAGTGTACTGCAGTAAGTCCTCCTGACCTGAGGGGACTCTGTAAGTGGAAGGTGACACCTCTCCTCCTCTTCCTCCATTACGCTGTTGTCTATGAAATCCACTTGCTCCAGCTCTCCATTCACTACAGAGAGGAAGCATTTTAGAGACAACCAATTAACAATATTTAGATGTTTAGTAGCTTTTATTTTAAAGCTTATTTTGACGTTTTTATTTTAGATCCCCTGGTTGGGAACTACTAAGCTTAAGATCTTAAGATTCCTTTAACCTTTACCTTTGGGTGTCTCTAGTGACGTATCTCTCTCCTCTTCCTCTTGAAAATTTGTGTGTTCGCGGGAAACGTCAGTCAATCGCAATGACCGTTCCGAGAAATCGTCAGCAGACTAGAGTGAAACAACACAGACGCACATACACAGCCGCTTGCATCATCCAATACAATTACTCTCGATAAGCCTTTAGCAACCATAGTCCAAGTGGTGCATTAGTGCTTAGAGGTCTCTTTATACCTCATTTCCTGACCATCTTTTGCTGCCGCTGTCCACGCTGTTAAAGCCAGAATCCAGGCCACCATACTGACCGGGGAACAGGTCCTGATCTAGACTGAAGAGACCACACACACACACACACACAAGTGATTAAAGCTTTTTCGACACCCCAAGACCTCTCGTCCTTGACGATCTCTCACCAGTTGTTGAAGGTTGTGGGCCGCAGAGCTTTCTCAAACTGGTCCTGAGTCCTTTTGCAGGCCTCCATGTTCAGATATTTAAAGATGTGGAACTTTCCTTTGGAGCAGATCTGGGCAGGGGGCATTTGGAGGGGGTTGTTGTCCAGGATGATGCTTTGGAGGTGCCGCAGATGACGGTAACACACAGGCACGTTGGATATGCGGTTGCACGACACATCCAAACGGACGAGAGGCAACTCTGACAACTCTGAGTTGAGAGAAGAGTCAACTAGGTGAGTCAATCTAATATATGTATAGTGGATCCAAAACTTATATTTGGACACTTCCAAATAAATCTACGAACAAATATACATCACAAATCAAAACTAACATCACTCTTCAGAGGAATTTGTTTGGTGGTTGTATGAAGTCAGTTCTCCTCAAGTTCACACAGGTGTCCAATCACAGGTGGAGTTCCTCACACTTGCTATGAAATAATGTTTGACAACCAGAAAGTGTCCCAATACTCTAAAATAAACGTTATCTTTCTTTAAAACAAATGCCACTTTTGGTTGATCATTTCTCTAATTCTATGACATTCGCATCCTTTCAGAGTGGTTTAAATGTCCAAATATTTTTTGTGTCCATTGTATTAATCTGAAAGAGAGATTTAAGCTTGTTATAAAAGCCTTCTCCTCTGATATCCATATAACACACTGGTTCCTTGTGTTTTGGAATTTTACACAACATCTTGATTTCTGTTATCTTGCAAGGTAATACACTATGGCTTTATGCAATATTTCCAAATGTTAACTGAAGTAATAGGACATGTGTTTATAATTTTGGGATACCAACCTTCTGGTAAAGTTGCAAGCTGGTTTCTTCTCAGATTTAAATCCCTTAAACATTCTAACTGGCCGAGCTCAACGGGAAGTGACTGTAGCTCATTACAGCTCACATCCTGGTGGAGAAACACAGTGAGAGGAAGAGACAGAGAGAAAGAATTTAACTAATAGAAGAAATTATAAAAATGAAGAGTGTGTGTGTACATTGGAGTTGGGGGGGCAATAAGGTTTTTTTAAGTAAGCAATTAATACTTCAGCAAAGATGCACTAAATTGTTTCAATTTCAAAAGTTTCTATTCAGAGAATTCAAAGAATCCGGGAAAAAAAAATGTGTCATGATTTACACAAAAATATTAAGCAGCACAGTTGTTTTCAACACTGATTATAAAAATAGGTTCTTAAACAGCAAATCCGCATATTAGAATGATTTCTGAAGGATCATGTGACAGTGAAGTAATAATGCTGAAAATGCAGCTGTGTCATCACAGCAAAAAATTACATTTGAAAAATGTATTCAAATAGAAAACAGTGATTTAAAATTAATGTATAGGAAACACTGCTAGTGCTAAACTTCACACCACAGACAACTGCCACATATTTAGAGACTCCTACACATATGTAGAGATATCTCCTGACTCAATACTATCACAATACTTTGGTACCGATACATTGCAATTTAATATTGTTATATAAATCAACAATATTGTTTATGTTTAATATTGATATTTTGGAACTCTAAAGCATGGCGAAAAGTTAAATGATACACGTATACACGAATGTGCACGTCATATATCCGTAGATGTCTCTCTATCCGCCATTTTTCACTTTTTTGTGTCTACTAGTAAGAGATATGACGTCATACGACTTCACTGATCCAACACATAGGGCTCAAAACTAAGGATTTTTTCTAATGCCAAATTTTTCAAAGAAAAAATAAAAATAAATAAAAGAAAAGAAATAAATAAGGCCTAATTATTGTCTTAATAATTAAGGTTGTGACACCAAAATACTAGCCAATTCAAATAAATTTAAAATATTGTTAAAGTCAAGTAAACTGTCAGTAATAAAATAAGAACAAATAAATGAGCAATAGCACAAATACAATAGAACAAACATACATGTTTATCAGGTGAGTATAACAGTAATTTTCAGGTAGAGAAAATGAATAATAAGATGCAAAACAGCACTGCATAGTCTTCACTGTATAAATTAAATATAGATTAATCCTTATTAAAGTTACACAGTTATTCAGTCAAGACAAGTAAATATTTAGTATAATACTAAAGGATTATTAGGAACACCATATTAATACTGTGATTGACCCCCCTTTCGCCTTCAGAACTGCCTTAATTCTACATGGCATTGATTCAACAAGATGCTGAAAGCATTCATTAGAAATGTTGGCCCATATTGATAGGATAGCATCTTGCAGTTGATGGAGATTTCTGTGTTGCACATCCAGGGTACGAAACTCCCGTTCCACCACATCCCAAAGATGCTCTATTGGGTTAAGATCTGGTGATTGTGGGGGTCATTTTGATCAGAATGCCTCATGGTCAGAAACAATGCTCAGGTAGGCCGTGCGATTTAAACCATGCCTAATTGGCACTAAGGGGCCTAAAGTGTGCCAAGAAAACATCCCCAACACCATTACACCACCACCACTAGTCTGCACAGTGGTAACAAGGCATGATTTATCCATGTTCTCATTATGTTTACACCAAATTCTGACTCTACCATCTGAATGTCTCAACAGAAATCGAGACTCATCAGACCAGGCAACATTTTTCCAGTCTTCAACTGTCCAATTTTGGTGAGCTCTTGCAAATTATAGCCTCTTTTTCCTATTTGTAGTGGAGGTGGGGTCTTCTGCTGTTGTAGCCGATCTGCCTCAAGGTTGTGCGTGTTGTGGCTTCACAAATGCTTCGCTGCATACCTCGGTTGTAATGAGTGGTTATTTCAGTCAAAGTTGCTCTTCTATCAGCTTGAATCAGTCGGCCCATTCTCCTCTGACCTCTGACATCAACAAGGCATTTTCGCCCACAGGACTGCCGCATACTGGATGTTTTTCCCTTTTCACACCATTCTTTGTAAACCCTAGAAGTGGTTGTGCGTGAAAATCCCAGTAACTGAGCAGATTGTGAAATACTCAGACCGGCCCGTCTGGCACCAACAACCATGCCACGCTCAAAATTGCTTAAATCACCTTTCTGTCCATTCAGATATTCTTGGAGTTTGGAGTTCAGGAGATTGTCTTGACCAGGACCACATTGCATTAATGAGAAATTGAACAGGTGTTCCTAATAATCCTTTAGGTGATGGTATCTTAAAGGTCCCCTGACATGGGGTTATTTTATTATTTTATAATGTTTCCTGGGTTGCCCTTAGATTGTTAGTATGTTTTTAGATTAAATATAGTCATAATTTGGTAATAAAATGCATTTTTCCTAGCCTGATTTTAGCCTCTGATTTGAACGCTCTGGTTGAGGCTCTTAATCAGAGCCTCTCCACAATCACGGCGACAGTATTGTGGTGAAGACTTTGTCTATTACCACAGTATATAAGACGAGGTCGAAGTATTCATAGGACAGTTAGGGGGCAACGTGGAGGCAGGGTGAGGAGTCGCAGTTACAATGACAGTAGACCGAGCTGTGTGCGCTGCTCGTATCTTATCACTCATGATCTGGGCTTTGCCATGACGAGGGAGCTTTTGAACTAAACCGGTCTTGTCTACTTGTGTTTGTATGTCATATGAATAATATATATGTGCCCCACATGGAATCAGAGTGCCTACTGTATGTAGTAAATGGAAAATCTCTACAGAAAAAGGCCAACCGCTACATGCATTCGGTTTGTTTCTACCATTTAGGCTCAATCCCAATTCACCCCTTAGCCCTACCCCTCCGTTTTGCGCGTTCACGCCTAGGGGTAGGGTGTCCCGATTCTTGTTGAGATCGAGGGGTAGGGCGAAGGGGTAGGGCTACATAGATTTTTCAGAGACACACTCCAAATGGAGGGCTAAGAGAAAGTTCACGGAATGCATCGGAAATCACCAGCGAGATGGATCGCAAACGGTTAAACATTTAAATTTAGCGGCAGATGATTCCACTACGCACTTTATTTACTCTTATAATAACATTGTAGTCATTTCTTTCCGATCAGAAAAGACATACATTTCGAGGAAGGGATGTTATAATCATCATGTTTATTCAAAGTCAAGAGCAGCTGCGCTGATTGTCAGTTGTTGTCATGGAGAAATCCTGTACAAACTCTGTAACGGCAGAGCCATCGCCGACGACTGATGACGTATCGGGTTCATGAAGGGTTGTTCCATTTCGTAGGGGAATATTTCAACCCCTTGGCCCTTGTAACTCCGTTTTAAGGGCCAAGGGGTACACTCGAAAACAAGGGGTAGGGCCAAGGGGTGAATTGGGATTCAGCCTTATTAGTAGTGATTTACACAGTTTTTTTACTACTTACTATATACCTGAGCATTCCGTATTGTGTAATATAGCATACTGAAGGTGAGGGACATTTTGGGGGGAAAAAAAGTGCTGCATTTTCTCATTTAAACATGTGACTTTCATGAAAATTCTATAATCCAAGATTGTCGCCACCATGACGTCAGAATATGCAAATTAGATGGGAAATCTAATGTAATCCCTATATAAACTTTGGGTCATCCTTAATACTTCTCCAATTTATAGAAAGTCTCTATCTTTTATCACTTTTAACATATAGTCTTTTAAAATTAAGATGTCAAAATTGAACATTTTAGGAAAAAACTTCTAGCGCCTAAAGGGTTAACTTTACTAGTAAATGACACATTTTGGAAAATATCCTAACAAAAACCCCACTTGTGAGAACATGTTCCTCACTAATAGAGTGCCGAAGTTATGACGTAACTTTGTAGGTCAAAAAGGCAGAAGTGAGTTAGCATTTTAGCACTTCCGGTTCTCTCGCTGTAAAGTCTATGGGTTTTTTGAATGGGTTTTGCTAAATTGCCTGAAATAAGGTCTGTGGTTAACAAAGCCTCTAAATATTTTCACGTTTTGATCTATGACATGAAACACACCAGTTATAACCTGCTTGTGGTTTTTTAAACTTTATAACTTTATATTATTTAGGCTTCAAAATGTATAAATTTTGGATTAACTTGTTATATAAAGATTATAAAGATTATCTTGTACAAAATGTGTAAGGGTCACACCTCTTTGTTAAACACAATCTTATTTTTTGCGATTTTCCAAAAGTGTATGGGGAAAATGCATAGCTTTTCGATTGAGCCTACAAAGTGACGTCATAACCTCTGAATCATATGTTTTGTTTCAGATAAACTGATATCAACCAGTTTGTGTAAATGAGATGCCTTCACTAATCTAATTTAAAAAAAAAAAAGAAACATGAGCGTGTGTGTGTGTGTGTGTGTGTTCTACTTACCAGTTGTCGAAGGTGTGTGAGTGTGTGTATAGAGGCCGGTAGCACTGATAACTTGTTGTTGCTGACGATGAGCACACGCAGGAGAGGGAGCTGACATACTGAGGGTGGTAGACTGGACAGCTGGTTACGACTGCACCACACACACAGACAGAGAGAGAATTAAATGAATGCAATCTAACACCGGTACAAAACACTCATTGACAGACTTACTGTATATACAATCCTTCCAATATCTTTAGCCACAAAGAGGATGAAATTTCACTCAGGGAGACCTGATGTTTACCAATGCTGCATGTTTTATTATAAGAAATAAAGTAAAAAAAAAAAAAAGTAATATTGGGAAATATTATTGCAATTTCGAATAACTGCTTTTTAAAAATATGTTTTTATATATATATATATATATATATATATATATATATATATATACTGTATATATATTTAAAAGGTAATGTATGTGTGATGGCAAAGCTGTATTTTCAGCATCATTACACCAGTCTTCATGATCATTCAGAAATCATTCTAATATGATGATTTGGTTCTCAACAAACATTTCTGTTGTGCTGCTCAATATTTTTGTGGTGGTAACCGTGATACATTTTTACAGGATTTTTTCAATTTCAGTTCAATTGTAGAAAAAAAAAATTGTTTTATGTAATTTATAAGTTCAAAAGAACAGCATTTATTTCAAAATTAAACATTTTGTAACATTTTAAATGTCTTTACTGTCATAATTGCTGATTAAAAAGTATTAAACTGTTTTTAATAAATACTTGACTTATACTGAGATGACCTGATGACCTGAGCCTATCCAAATACCAAGATTTGCGGTCTATGCACTTGACCACTTGTTTTATTAAATTTGGCCCAAGTGTTCAAGTAGGCGTGAAGACTGCAAGTCTGTGCAGAACATTTGATTACCCGATGGGACACACTTATAGTTTTGCAAAGTTTATAGAGCTTTATTTAGATTTTTTGTACTTTGCATTTTAAATATCAGTAGTCCCTATGTAATAGAAGACACTATTTTAGTTTTTGTACAAAATTCACATAGCCTACTCATCTTTGCACAAATAAAATGTGCAACACTTAATGTTTGACAACCAAATAATATGTTATATTTAATTAATTTAACTTACAGTTGAATGTTTTCCTAGACATCTCGCGATTTTAGAGCACGGAAGTTCCCCGGACATGATTTACGATGGGATAGCCTTGGCCTCGAATACCACTCCGAAGCGGTATTAGTGTGTGCGTAGTGCGTTCAGGGCATTGCGCTTTGGCATTTTTAAGACATGGTACAGTTTTCCACACTTACTTCCTGTCAAGTTCATGCACTTAAGTGGCCAAGAGCACATTTGGACAGGCACTGTATCTGGAGTGGGTGTGTGTGTGTACCTGAGGTTGAGGTAGGTGAGGGCTTGCAGCTGGCACAGGCTGGGCGTGAGGGATCGCACACAGTTGTGGTACAGGCTGAGCGTCTCCAGAGAGACAAACTGACACACCTCCTCTGGAACCTCACAGAGCCGGTTCTTTGAAAGGTCTGAGATATAGAAACACCAAAACACAGTTAGTACAGACTGAATTAATGACCACAGACACCTTTACATGATAACAACGAAGATGTCAGCCAAAAAGGACGTTATATATTACCAGTAAAATAAAGAAATAAATAAATAAAACAAATTAAATAAAAAAAACAATAATAATAATTACATTTAACAAAAAAAACAATAATAATAATTACATTTAACATTAATTAAATTACACTTTTTATTTGAATTAAAACATTTAATTTAATAAAATAAAATAATGAATATGTGAATATATTATTACATTTTATGATAATTTAGCACAAAAAGTTTTTTTATCCTTTTAAATATTTTAAAATAATTCTCAATATTCTCAAAGACGATTTTAGTTACTATATTACAGTCAAATTATGATTTTACTTCAGTGTAAATGTAAATTAAAAATGCAAAAACCCATAACCATAAATCCTATTCCTTTTAACAAAATAAGAGTGTTTATTTGCATTATGGTAATGAGATTTGTCATGAAATTAATTAAGGCAATATTCTTAAAATAAAGCAAATTTATTCATTTCATTTATTTCTCATTTATTTATTGTAATGCATTGACATTTAACCCAGACAACTACTTGACAGGTTTTGTCCAAACCAATAGGGCGAAAACTTGTGTAAAGATCTTGCCGATTATGGAACTTCGTTTGTGTTCACGTTCTATATTGAGTACTATGATGCATCCTAAGCAACAGACAAGCCTCTTTTGTCACTTTGTTTATGCATCCATATCCATGGGACAGAAGCCAGGGACAGGAAACGCGTAAACAGTCATGATGTTTCCCAAAGTGAACAAAGACTTTTTTTTATGGGAAAACAGATTTTTTTTTATCTTTTGTCTGAATATAGCTCAATCTATTCCAATTCCATTCAATATTTTCATTCCAGACAGAAGCTGCACTCGCCAGATACACGTGAAACACACACTCCCTTCAGTGGCGCTGGTCATAGGGTCAGGATGTATTTCTGGAGAGGGAAGGATTTTAATTACAGGCCCAAGGAAGCTTAGAACAGGGTGTGTGAACGTATGTGCAAGTCCATGTCACTAGAGAGACAAACCAGACAGAAGAAACAACCAAAACACAGAGTTTAAGGCTAAATGACCGTTAGGGTGCAGTTTTCACCTTACATTAGCATTACATGCACACAGGTACAGTGTAATTTCAAGTCTCCATAACCCTCCTCATGATCTTAAACAAAACCAAAGTTACTTTCACACTACGAGAACAATAGCCTGTGGAAGTGTGTGTGTGCTTTTTTTTTTCTCTCTTCTTCCCCGTACTGTCCAATTGTCCAATCCGCTCTCCTTTTCCAAATCTTTTGTTCAGCTGTTTTATTTGGCAAGGAAGCATTTCCCGCCTCTCCATTCCCAGTGGGAAGAACTAAAGATTCCCAGGGGCAGCCCATATTTCCCACAATCCCCCGCACTGCTTTACACTCACGCCAGCCTAACATGGTAGAGAATGGGAGAAATACCAGTGTGCCCACATCATGGAGAAAGATGATATGTATGAGTCTGAATACACTTATGATCAATAACGCTTCCATAATCACTCTATGAGGTGACCATGGTAATATCACTCATTAAAATAATTAAGAATTTAATAAAATATTTAATTGGTGTATAAAAGTTCATAAGGATGTTCAGGTTTATCTATACTTGTGTGCACATTTTTTTAAAATTAAAAAACTAGATTAGATTATATATGAAATGTGTAATAAGGGGTGGGGGGGAATAATGATGTTGATATAAGTTTTGTATATAGACTCCACCAATGGCAAATTCATCTAGTGGCACAGAAATCACACACTTCATATTTAAAGAGAATTTTGATTTGAGTAGAAATGCTTTTATTTCTGTTCGGGTCATGTTTACTTCGTGTTCCTAGAAATAGTTGCCTAGACGTATCCGATTCTCCACAGGGGTTCACAAACACCTCCTGCGTGAGGTCTCCAGCTGTGCCCAGCCTTAATGACACGTTCAAATCATTATTATGGCATGACAGAAGTCCCTAGCTAATAAGCAGGACTGTATTTCAATTATGTCCTGAAGGTCTCACTCTAAATATCTCCCCTCAGTGTGTGTGTGTGTGTGTGAGAGAGAGACTTCTTAAGAGTAGCAGTTGGTCTACTGAGCCCCTCCTCTCTTTTGCTCTCTGAGGAATCTGAGCGTTATTCTGCCTGCTAGCGTCTCTTTGGTGTAACTAAAGCTGCTTTTGCATCTGGTGTGTGTGAGAGAGTGTTAATCAACACACACACACACACACCCACACACACACACTCCAATCCTCCTTTAGCCCTAGAAGGAGATTACATTGATGCGGGATAACAACAGACTCCCTTACAGTTCATTTCAGACACACATTTACGCAAAAGAAACACAAACAAGACCTAATTATACTGTGAGCTCTAAGTTCTATTTAACATTTGATAGCCAAATGACAACTTCTACAACAGTTGAGGAGGCGTGTTGTTGTTTGAAGGTCTCTATGTGTGTGCTAAGCTAAGATCTGTCTTCTTCGTACCTGCTGCCAGGAGCTAGTCATCCCTGGTATTAACTGAAACGTGACGCTGTGTTTGTTTCAACACACTGACTAGACCTGATGTGTCAGGCACTGACTCACTTTTATCTGAACAAAACATGCATTTATGCGGCATTTTTACCAGTGTTGTAGTCGAGACCACCTCACTCGAGTCCGAGTCAAGACTGAGATCAGAGAGAGTCGAGTCCGAGTCAAGAACGAGTCCATAGAGAGTCGAGTCCGAGACCAGAGACGGTCGAGTCCGAGTCGAGACCGAGACCAGTGAGGGTTGATTACCTAATTTACTTTTATTTACTTAGAGAAATCTTTTTTTTTTTACTGAATTTACTTAAGAGTTTAAAAAATATGATCAGTTTAGGGTAAAAAGGCCACATATTAGGTGGTGTTAAAAGTAATTTTATTACAGTTTGTCATGCGCAGTTGCGCACTAGAAAATCACTGGGCGTGTCAATCAATTTAAAGAAGTATTTTATTAACATACATTAATAATCATGAAAAATATTTTGAATTGAACTCGAGTGGACTCGGGAATAAATCCGAGTCCTAAAAAAAAAAATGTTCGAGTACGAGTCAATTCCGAGTCCAAATGCACACGAGTCCATGACAAGACCAAGACCATTAAAATATGGTCTCGAGTCGAGACCGAGTCCGAGACGAGTCCGAGTCTCGAGTACTACAACACTGATTTTTACATTTATTATTAATGTCTGCCCTGTCATTTCAGCACACAGGTTTCCAGAACACTCCTACTCTATTCCATTGTTCGGACAAACAAGTGGTGCCATACCAAACTCACAAAAATAAAATAGTATCGAATGTAAGATATTTTAAAATCGCTACAGTGTTTACACACAGTGGAAGGTCAACCGACTCTTAAGATGCATTCACATTTATCTTTGTTAGGAATGCCAGAAATTTCAATAGGAATTTAGGCAATTGTGAATTTCGCATAAGATTTTACTTCTTTTCCATACAACAAAAGTGAATGGGAACTGTAAAGCTCCAAAATAGAACCCTAATGACCCAAACGGCACCCTAAGCCCTCATGGTTTTCCTCAGAGTCCAATCTTTTGTGACGTACTGTAATGCCGCTTTGACTGTTGGGTGGGTAAGCCTGAAATCTGAAATGACAAATGGCCTGAAATTTAAAATGGCACCCTTAAAATTAAAGAATAAAAAATATGACAGTATAAATACAATGTACAGTAAATACAGATTGTGAACATATTTGCAGTATTATGGATAATTTGAATAAATAGTGAATTTAAAAGATATTGCACTAGTGGCTTTGGGAGGTATATGATGGCTTTATGTGAGCCAAAGATTGAAACAAGTTACCATTCACTGAAAATCTTCCCCTCCACTGTAGCAATATAAACTTTAAAATCACACTTCAAACATATCTTTTCCCATGTCTGTAACCAAATCATTTGAGACACATAAGTAATAAATTTAGACTTTCCCTCACCTAAACTTATTGAAATGATTCAGAAGAGCCGACGTTGCATGTACCGTCTACCTTTTCAGATTTATTTTGGGCTTTTTTTTTTTTTTGCTCTTGTTTACACAACACAGAGAGCAGACAGAAAGTGAAGTGAGAAAGAGAGAAGGAGAATGGGATCAGAAAGGACAATGACTAAAACTCAGGTCACCTGAATCAGCTGACTGGATATACTACTTTTGTCTGACTTGTGTTTTTTTTTTTGGAGTAAGAGAAGTCTCTTTAATTTCCTTTGTAAAGACATGTCATACAGGTTTAGAATTATGGATGATAACATGCTGGGAAAAATGCACATTTCACCTTTTTTCACCTTCAAAAGTTTGCACCAGTGCCACTAGAGAAACAGCATTTCATTGCTTCTCCTCCACTGAAGCAGGAACAACAACTGTGCCTTGACTTGACTTGAGATGGGGGCAGAGAAAAATAAAATGAGAGGGGAAGAAAGGGAGGGGAGAGACTGAGAGGGGAGAGGAGGGCAAATCTTGAAAGGGGACGAGTGAATGAGTAACAGCAGCATGACAATAGCAGTGAAAGCATGAATACCGGCCTGAGCTGAGGGGGTGACGGAACAAAAACACACGGGCCAGAATGACTCGACACATTCAAGAGAGCACCACTGGAGGCAATAAGTGTGTGTGTGTGTGTGTGTGTGTGTGTGTGGCACATGAACACTACTCAAGCACATCAGTGAATAGTGAATTAACGGTCAAAAAAAGCTGATTATTTGACCTCACAAGCACTTTAGAGAGCTGAGTGCACTGACCGAATCGATCAAAACACCAATGTGTACCACGTCCTTTTCATTATTTCTTGCTGCGCCATAAAACAGAGGTTTATTTTCAGACCTCAGTCTCCAAAGGCTCTAAAATATCAGTGATGGAATCATATGCAGTTAAAACTCCATAATCCAGCAGGA